TGTCAGGGGGTGTGGCATATCCAAATAAGTTATGCAAATAAGTTATGCTAATGAGCTCCTGCACCTCTTTTTCTATGAAATGACCCCTGGTCTTAAAGGGCTTTTAACACTATTGGGGGCATCTGTGTTAGAGGCACAAGAAATGGTATGGTAAAAAAAAGTTAGAGTTGAGTCCAAGAGCATCTTAGAGCTTTGGAGAGTCAGAGCTCCTTTAGTCAGACACAGTAAAGTAGGAATGTAGATCTGAGTCTTTTTATCCCAGTCTGGAGGTGGGAAGGGTGTTGGAAAGAATGCTTGCATAGGATGCCAAGGTACGAGGCATGTTGCAATCAGCTTGATCGGGGCAGAGGGGAAATGCCCGGGGGCAGAAAACTCGGATCTGCAGTGAGATAAAAATCCTTTACAACAGGCATTCTTTAGAAGAAGAAGAAGAGACTGGATTCATACCCCCCTCCTTCACTACCCAAAGGAGTCTCAGAGTGGCTTACAGTCGCCTGTCCCTTCCCCTCTACCTGTGAGGTCAGTGGGGCTGAGAGAGCTCTCTCGAGGACTGCCCTTGGGAGAGCAGCTCTGAAAGAACTTGTGAATGACCCAAGGTCACACCAGCAGCTGTATTATTATTATTATTATTATTATTATTATTATTATTATTATTATTATTATTATTATTATTATTATTATTAATTTGATTTTTATCCCGCCCTCCCGCCGAAGCGGCTCAGGGCGGTTTACAACAATAAAAACAATAAAGCCATGCCTCTAAAACAATATACAATACATTAAAATCACAATTTACCCACATTATAACATACACATTATGTTATGCATGTGGAGGAGTGGGGAAAATCAAACCTGGTTCTCCTAGACTGGAACCCACCCTCTGACTGCTCTACTGCAGGCCAACCCGGTTAGCCTCTGGCTTAAAAACCCCCCAGTAAAAGTGGAAACCTAATTTCCAGAAGCCGCATCCCTCCCCTGATCCCCTTTGTTCAAGGTGGACAAAAACATTCTGGCTTCTCCTTGGGCTCAGGATGGGGACGCAACACAGCCAAAGGGACAGCCGGGAAAGGGGGCATGGCCCCCTGAAGTGGCCGAGCAAGGCATGCAGATGGCTTTTCACTTATTCACTTCGGCCTCCCTCTTCCCCTAAGGAGCTCAGGGCAGCACGGGAGGATGTCCTTCCCTCCAGTTTTATCCTCCCAACAACCCTGTGAGGTAGGTCAGGTTGAAGGTCACCTGGTGAACTTTGTGACGGGGGGGGGGCGAATTTGAAGCCGGGTCGCCCCAGCGCTAGTCTGATTCTCTGACCACTACGGCAGGCTGGCTCTCGGGTGAGAGACGGCTGGGGTGAATGCAGTGGCAAACTAGCGCTGTTTGGACAAGGAGGCACAGTTTCATTGAAGTGAGCAGGGGCAGATTAACCATTAAGCAGACTGATCACGTCCCTAGGGCCCCAGGGCCAAAGGGGGCACCACAAAGTTGGGAAAAGGGTGAAAAGCTTCGTTTGTACAGTATATTGTGTTATCCTATGAATAAATTTTTGTATTGCTGCAACCTGCACTGTATATCTGGTCAGACAGGTCAACAACTAAAATGGACTAGGTCAGTGTGGAAAGGGGGGGGGGCACCAAGATGGGTCAGTGCCCTGAAGTGGCTGAGCAGGGCATGCAGATGGCTTTTCATGCAGTGAGCCTTCATCCGCCCCGGTGAACGGAGATTCTGCCTCTGAGCAGGTACCCTTTCGGAATGGCCTTACGTTTGCTGCACCGAGGCTGCACGGCGTTACAATAAGACACGGCAACTTTCTGGGTTAGCAGTAAAAAGAAAAAAGAAGTGCCCTGTGACTTCTGACTTATGGTGACCCTATGAATCAATGACCTCCAAAATGAAGTCTCTTTAACAGCCTTGGCCACGCTGACCAAACCCAGCCCCCAAGTGGACCCACCTTGAGAGAGGTAAGCAAGCTGCCCTTCCAGAGAAGCAGAGCGGAAGATTTATGAAGTCCCAGATCTCTCAAAATTGCCTTTCACACTAAAAATCCCCTTCCATGGCATTTTGTGCTTTTAAAGCAGGTTTTCCCACCCCTCGTGAGTTGACACCAAAGTTAAATCCAGGGGTTACGTAACTTTGAAAGGCAGCTGAGCGGAGGGGGGTTTGGAAACCTGTTTATTGCATCACTGAAGTCTACCAGATTTCACGAGCTGCCGCTGTGGACACAAAACAGAGAAGGTAGACCTTTACTGTTCCCTCAAAAATATTCTCTCTTTGGAAGCAACATTAGAAGAGAAAGAAAGAAGAGATTGGATTTATACCCCGCCCTTCACTACCCAAGGGAGTCTCAAGAGAGGCTTACAATCTCCTTTCCCTTCCCCTCCCTACAACAGGCACCCTGTGAGGTAGGCGGGCCTGAGAGAGCTCTTTTTCAAGAACAGCTCTTATCAGAACCATGGCTTGCCCAAGGTCATCCAGCAGCTGCAAGTGGAGGAGTGGGGAATTAAACCGGCTCTCCCAGATTAGAGTCTGCGCACTTAACCACTACACCAAACTGGCTCTCTAGAGACCGAACGGGAGTCCCAAAGCAAATGCAGAGCCTCAGGTCTCACATAACGGACTCAAAGTCGCCCTCTCACCTTCCATAGTTATGGGGGCGGCTCTCATTTCGGTGCCTCTCCTATGAAAGAGCTGTGATTCCCTGGTCTGTCACCTCACCTCTGCCACGAAAGCCACCAACCTTGTGGAAACCTACTGTTTAAACTCAGCCCCCTCTCCAATCTAACACGGACCCAGCTCGCAAGACCGTCTTCAGGACTGCAGAAACAACACCTACAAAGCACCTCATTCGAACTCTCACATCCACCATATAGAAGTTAATTATTACTCCTCGTTGGCTGCAAGCACAGATTAGGATCTTTCCACCGCTTCCCCAAGATCACAGCTTTGTATAATGCATTCAATAAACCGGTCACTTCCGACCCCTCCGCTGGTAATCTCAACAAGATCTCCTTTTTATTACTTTGTTTTGTTTTTGTTTTAAAGCCAGGCTCTTGCGACCTGAACAGCGAAGCCTATTCAGCAGTTCAGCAGTCCTCCATAAGTACATGCAGGACGGGGCTGGAGCATCACCCGTTGAGTGCCTGCCTGTCGCAGCCAGGAAGCCAAGGGGAGAAACCGAGTCAAACCATTTCTGCATGGAAGGCTCTGTTACTCCTCTGTAAGGAGAAGAGCAAGCGGACGCTCGCCTGCCTTGCGAAGCAGAGTCTTGCGGCATCTGAAAGGCTAGCAGATTTATCGGCGGAGGACTGTTGGTGGAGTCGAGCCCGCTTCTTTGGATGCATGCAGTTCCGCAGGGCCTGTAAGACGGAGCTCTTCCACCAGGCGTATGGGTAGGAGCCGCCACTAACATCATCACTAACATCATCGCTATTCCATCTCTACCTGGCCCTGGATGAGGTGAACATCAGTCCCTGGAGCAGATGAGGCTGAGCAGTTATAAAAATGCCATCTGATATTATGTTGAACATCTAGAGCACTCTAGTCTTTGATTGTTATGAATGCTTTTGTATTATGGGATTTATAAATGTTTTTAAAGTTGTTTTATATTGGCGTTTGCCACTTGTAAGCCGCCCTGAGCCCGCATTGCGGGGAGGGCGGGGTATAAATTGAATTAAATAAATAGAGGGCGGGGTATAAATTGAATTAAATAAATAAATAAATAAATGAAGTTGACAGATATAAATACACACCCACACTTGGACTAATGCGCTCAGGGCGAAGGGCTGGGGGGGGAGGCAAACAGTGGTGAGGCGCAAAGGCAAGACCCTCCTTCACTCCGCACCCTCGGGAGTGTCCAGAAAGCATGTCACTCTTCTGAAAGCCTTTTTACCCCCCTCCCTCTGTCCTGTTTCAGCCAGTGACCTAATACTCCAGCTCTGCACAACTGCCCCCACCCACCATGACATACTTTATGGACGGTCCCTGGAGAGCAAAACAAGGGTTAAATCCCGGTAAAGCCTTGTCCAACTCCTGCCCTTCTTTCTCCCTTGGTACCCTTGTATACCTCAAAACCCCTTCCTCATAACTGACATTGTGCCGTTTCCCCCTTTCTCCCTTCAAATCACTTCTCAAAGCCCCCCCGTTTCCACGAAGACCCTCAGTCCCTCCCTACCCCCAAATGGGCAGAAGCCCAAGCCCATCTCCCTTACCTTGGGTCCGTGCCTCCCCCCAGACACACCTCCCTTTCCATTGACCGTAAAAAATCTCCAGGGCAGAGACTCAGTTTATCCAGCTCGATCTTTGTTGCGATCCACTGTCGGTGCAGCAGCTGGACTGAGACCCGAGCGGCCTGGGTTCAAATTCCCACTCGGACACAGAAACTCGCCCGGTGACCATGGGCCAGACATACATTCTCCACGTAGCCCGCCTCACAGGGCTGTTGTGTGGGTGAAGTGGAAGGTGGCGGAGACAAGCCCACCACCAGTGTTCCCTCTAAGCTGAGTTAGTGTGAGCTAGCTCACAGTTTTTTAACCTCCAGCTCACACATTTCTGTCTCAGCTCAGGAAGGATGGCTCCAGAGCAAACTAAGTTATGCAGCAGCCAAATCACTCGCTCACAGCTTTAACGCCAGTAGCTCACAAAGCAGAATTTTTGCTCACAAGACTTCACTGCTTAGAGGGGACATTGCCCACCGCCCCAAGCTCTTTGGAGTTGGGCAGGATAAAAATATATTGGATATGTTAAGTCCGCAGCCTGCCGCATACGGCAAAAATCGCCGTCGTTTATAGGGTCACCAGCCGGATAAGAAGGAAGCGCAGTCATTTCGGGCGCTGCAATTAGGCGCAGAAGTCAGCAGGTGACATTTTTAGGGCACGGAGGGACTCAATCTCTCAGGCTCAAAGTGCTGCGGGCCAGAGAGCGATTAAAGCCACCGGGCCAGCTTGGAAAGACAACCAGGCCGACCAGTCCAGCAAATATAAATAGCCAACCCGAGACTCGGCACGCACCTTGTTGATCTCCTCCAGCCTCCCTTGCTGCTTGGCTTTCAGTAATCCGAAGGCTTTCCCCCCTGCGTAGAGAGGGGGAAAGGAAGAGGGGGGGCGGGGGGGGGGGGAGAACCCGAAAAGAGGATTAGGCTTCGGTGTGCCAAAAGGCGCAAAGTGGCACCCCCGCGCGTTCCCACGGTGCGCCAAGGCGCAAAGTGGCACCCGGCGCGTTCCCACGCCCGGAGGAGACCGACCGACCCACCTTGGTAGGAGTTGTTGAGCATCAGGGACATGTTCGGGACCCTGGCGGGGCGGCCGGAGGGCTTGCAAGCGCCTTCTCCTCCCCGGGCTGGCGGCGGTCCTTCCCCCTGCCCGCGGGAGAGGCGGGGGGGGCAACAGGCGCTGCTGGAGGACTCAGGCGCCCAGCCCAGCCCCGGCGGCGCTCGTGAATGGAGCCATTCATGCAGTGGGACTCGCCGGCGACCGACTGCCTCGCGCGTCCCTCTGCTGGAGGAGAGGAGGCGGCCTCGACCCGCTCCAGGGCCTGCACTGACCCCTTCCCCGCGCGGCTCCGGGGACCTCGAGGGGGCGGGCCTGGAGCAGCATTTAAAGGGCAGCTCCAAAGCAACCGGTGACGCTTTGGTGTGGGGATTGTGAGCATGAGTGCCTGCCAAGGGAGCCGCCGTTAAAGGCGTAGGACGCAGGGCTCGGTTCAGTGCCGGATTTACGCATCAGCTAAATAAGCTACAGTTTAGGGCCTCGCAATCTTCTGGGGCCTCAAATAAAAACACAATATAAAACATGATTTCAAATATTAAAAAGGCGTCTATATTTTAAATTTTTCTGAGACCAGCTGATGTAATTTAAAACAGTAGGGGGCCTCTGGGTTTTGTATAGCTTAGGGCCTCAGCAAGTCTAAATCCGGCCCTGGCTTGGTTGCAAAGCGGGCGACTCTAGGAGGCTTGCCAACAATGGATTATGGGATTCCTGGAGATTTGGGGATGAGGCCTGGGGAAGGCAGGGGAAGGGGAGGGGGTGCAGGGGGGATAGGATGCCATGGAGCCCACCAATCTTCCCTCTCAGCTGTGGAGTCTTGGGTGCAAAACTTCTACTTTGTGAGCTCCTGGCATTAAAGCTGTGAGCGAGTGATTTGGCTACTGCATAAACTAGTTTTCTCCAGAGCCATCCTTTGTGAGCTAAGACAAAAATGTGTGAGCCAGAGGCTAAAAAACTGTGAGCTAGCTCACCCTAACTCAGCTTAGAGGGCACACTGGAGCCCACCCTCGGGAGATACCATTTTCTCCAGGGGGACATGATCAGTGTTCCCTCTAAGTTGAGTTCGTGTGAGCTGGCTCACAGGTTTTTTTAGCCTCTGGCGCACACATTGTCGTCTCAGCTCAGGAAGGAGGGCCCCAGAGCAGACTAGTTTGTGCCGCCGCCAGATCGCGCGCTCACAATTTCAATGCCCGTAGCTCACAAAGTAGAATTTCTGCTCAAAAGGCTCCACCGCTTAGAGCAGTGGTTCTCAACCTGTGGGTTGCCTAAGACCATCGGGAAATTTGTAACAATGAAAATGCATCCTGCATATCAGATATTTACATTACAATGCATAACCAGTGTTCCCTCTAAGCTGAGTTAGTGTGAGCCAGCTCACAGTTTTTTAGCCTCCGGCTCACACATTTTTGCCTTAGCTCTGGGAGGATGGCTCCAGAGCAAACTAATTCATGTAGTAGCCAAATCACTCACAACTTTAATGCCAGTATCTCACAAGAGTAGAATTTTTGCTCACAAGACTTCACAGTTTAGAGGGAACAACAGTAGCAAAATTACAGTTATGAAGTAGCAATGAAAATAATTTTATGGTTGGGGGGGGGGCACCACAACACGATGAACTGTATTAAAGGGTCGCGGCATTAGGAAGGTTGAGAACCACTGGCTTAGAGGGAACACTGGACGTGATCCTCGTAGCCTGGAGATCAGTTAATTCTGGGAGATATCCAGGTTCCACCTGGAGGTTGGCAGTCCCTACTTATGGGCTCCTGCCGCAGGTTGGTTTGTCACCTGAACGGAAGCCCGCAGCATTATACAATGTTGAAATGCAGCTGCCCGGGCCAGTTTGCAATGGTGTTTACTCAGAACTGACTCCTACAGAATTCCGTCTCCAGCTGCACAGTTTGATCCTGCCCCTGCTTCCCCAGAAATAAATTCCACTGATTTCTGCTCCAGTCAGTGCCTTGTAGTTCGAAATGTGCTCAATATGAAACAAGTTGACCTGACCCTAGCGAAACTTACTTCCGAGTAAATCCCAGGCTGCTGGGATCAGATTAAAAGCACTGACTTGATTCTGTCTGAAGATAAAGCAAACAGGACAATGATTAGGATGCCTTTTCCCAGGGGTTTTTTTGGGGGGTGGGTGGGTGATGTCCTACAAAGCGGAGCAAATTGCATTTGGAAAGGATGGGATATATCACAGTCCAAAAGAACAAAGATGCAAAATGGCTTTCCTCCTCTAATGACGTGGTGGCCTGACCTTATGGAACAGTAAGACAGCTGGCACAAAATGAACTTTATGGTGGTTGGAGGAATATTTCCAGGTTACTGAATGAAGCCGTTAATCAACTGCATTTGGAAAGCCATTTAATTAGATTTGACCCATAAAAAGGAGAAGTCCCCCCCATGCTTAGATTCAGGGCACTTCAGTTCCAGAATTTGTCAGTCTTGGAACACGTGACAGAGGTAAAAATGGAACAGGAAGGCTCTGGGCATGTGCAGAGTTCACTGTGTCTCTCAACTGAACGGCCCAGCACATCTGAAATGTTGTTGTTGTTCAGTCGCACAGTCGAGTCCGACTCTTCGCGACCCCAGGGACCAGCTCCTACCAGGCCCTCCTGTCTTCCGCCGTCCTCTGAAGTTGACTCAACTTCATGTTCGTTGCATCGATGACACTGTCTAACCATCTCATCCTTTGCTGACCCCGTCTTCTTTGACCTTCAATCTTTCCCAGCATCAGGGGTCTTCTCCAGTGAGTGCTCCCTTCTCATTGGGTGGCCAAAGTATTTGAGCTTCAGTTTCATTATCTGGCCTTCCAGGGAACAGTCAGGGTTGATTTCTTTTAGGATTGGCTGATTTGATCTTCTTGCAGTCCAAGGGACTCTCAGGAGTCTTCTCCAGCACCATAGTTCAAAAGAATCTATTCTTCGGCGCTCGGCCTTCCTTATAGTCCAACTCTCGCAGCCATACATGACTACTGGGAATACCATTGCTTTGACATTTGCTGAAATGTAGTGATACCTAAACTCCCAGATCAGAAGGTACTGTTCTCAGGAAGCGGTGAGACTCTAGAAAAGAAAGGAAAAGAATACACCATTTGATGCTGAGAATTTAAGCAGCATCTTCCCAGTATGGACTTCAGGTCCTGGAGACGGGGTGTTTATGTGTCGGGGGTGGTGGTGTAGTTTTGTAGCCATAGTTTTGTAGGGTTGCCATCTCTGGGTCAGGAAATTCCTGGAGGTGTTGGGGAGAGCCCGAGGGCGGGATTTGTGGCATAATGCCATAGAGGCCATCCCCCAAAGCAGCCATTTTCTCCCAGGGAACTGATCTCTGGAGGTCAGTTGTAATTTCCAGAGATCCCCAGGCCCCGCCTGGGGGTTGGCAACCTTATGTTTATGTGAAGGACGGCCAGTCAGATGAGAGAAGTCCACTCTGCACATGCCCAGGTACGCTTCTGCCATAGCATGTATGGCTCAGGGTTGGAGCCATCGCATTCTGAAGGCACTATTTGAGCTGTGGGGGGAGCATTGGGGAGGGGCAGGCAAAATGGGTCTACTCTGAGAAGCAGCACCATTCAGACTGCTGTCCTGGGGCAGCCTTTGTCTTTTCTGGATGTGATTTCCGTGTCCGCTCTGCACGTTTGGGGTCAGTGAAAAGACAAGAGAGCTTTTCTTATGGGCTTTTTTTTCACCCCTGGAACTCCCTTCCCCTAGAGACTCAGGGACCGGTTCCAGGGTTTTCCTCGTGTGTCATATGAACGTCTAGCTTGGGTTGGCTTCTACAGGCTGGGATTCAGGAGGTATTAGGTCATCTCTTTGGAGCTCAGGGTATTTTGCATTGAAATGGAGATTCTTATGTGGCCTACCCTGAAACTTTGGAGGAGGGAGAGGCCTTTCATTTTTGTCCCCTCTGTCCCTGCAGACGCCTTGGGGCAGGGATCTGGCTTTGTCTGGCTACCCAGGCTCTTTCAAGGTCCACCCCTGGGGCTCAAAAAACAATTTCAAAAGTAGAAAGCAGAAATCTTCAGGCTGACTTGTTCTCTCTCTCTCTCTTGTTTTTAATTGTTCCCCAAAGCCCTGGGAATAGATTCTGCTCCAAACAGCCTTCTTGTTGTTAGGGTCGGGGTGTGTGTGAGTGTGTGCATTTTGCAGCGGAACAATTCAAGTCTGGGTGAGTCCTTCCAGCGGCCCCCACCCAGTGCAGCCGGGCCAAGGCTGTGAATCAGAGCTTGGAAGCCCCCAAGCGCCCAGCAGGAGTGAACTTCCTCTGGATATCTTCGCCAGGGACAAGCGGCTGAGGCGGCCTCTCCGCCTGCACGTCTTTCAGTCCGGCCCTGGGCGGTGAGTCAGCCTCTCTCGCCTCCGTCACCGCCACGGGCTTGACTCGTTTCTCAAGACCAGCAAGGTCTGTGGGGTGTCAGGGTGTGGGGTGTAGTGTGCGAACCCATCTGTATCGCCGACGCCTGGACGGGACTGAGATCTTCCCTCTGAGGTTTCCAAGACCTGCACGTACGTCAACTGTCTGTGACTATTTAATATCCACCAAAACAGCCATTTTCTCCTGGGGAACTGACCTTAATCAGCTGTAATAGTCGGAGACCTCCAGGTGCTACACAGGCTTGCCAGTCTGGTGTCGTGGTTAAGTGCGGGAACTCTAATCTGGGAGGACCGGGTTTGATTCCCCACTCCTCCACGTGCGGCTGCTGGATGACCCTGGGCAAGGCATTGTTCTGTCAGAGCTGTCCTAGAAAGAGCAGTTTCTGTCAGAGCTCTCTCAGCCCCACCCGTCACAGGGTGTCTGTCGTGGGGAGGGGAAGGGGAAGGGGAAGGAGACTGTAAGCCGCTCCGAGACTCTTTAGGGTAGTGAAGGGCGGGGTATAAATCCCATCTCTTCTTCTTCTTCTACCTGAAATGCCCTTTCCAAACGAGGCCCCGCCCTCCAAGATGGCCTCCCCCTCAGTGGATTTCAGGATCCCAAGAGACCCACGCATCTTTGTGAAGCTCAGGTGAGACAAAGATCCATCCACTGCAGCTGGAAGAGGAATCTGAGCTTCAGGGTGGTGTCGAGTACCAAGAGCCCCACGTCCACAGAAGCGAAAGGATTTCAGGCCTTTCCCCAGGGACACCCAAGCCGCAACCAGTCGCAAGAGGCCTCTCAAGCAAACTGGAACCTGCCTCTGTGCTCATCTGTTTTCCTTCCCATTCGCAACACTGTTTGCTTTTGGAGAACTGTCCTTGGGGTGGGGAATGGGAGGGGTGGCAGGCTCTCTCCTCGATTTTGCAAGCCTGTGTT